AAAAAAAAAAAAAAAAAAAAAGAGACAAGGGGGTCTGGAGCTTGCCAGACTCCAACTCTGATCCCAGCTCTGCTGCTTCCTTACTGCTTCCTTAGTGTGGCCTTAGGGAAGTCACTCAACCTCTTTGAGTATTTCCCCAGCTGCAGATGGGTATTAAAAAAACCTACCACATGCAATTGTTGTGGGTACTAAGAAAATAATGTCTATAAAATATTATAATATACTACCTGGCACATAATGAACACTTAATACACTTATTATCACTAATAATGCTATTGTTATTATTATCACTGCAGGGTTATCAGGAAGGCCTGCCTGGTGGCTAGCCCCAGTGATACTAAGAGTAGATCCCAGCCCAGTGCAACCTCAGCACCTCTCACCTGCCACAGAAGAGCACACTTTCCAAGTCACTTGTCCTGGACTCAGGTAAGATAGTGTTTGAGCCTCCTAGTTCTTCATCAGCTGAAAATCTTCAGATAAAGCAGATGGCCTGGAAACCAAAATCTCTGATGCCTAAGCTGATCATAGGCTCAGAGTTCTAAGCCCATCACCCGCCTGAGCCTTCAAGCCCTCACTGCCGCAGAGAGACAGACATTCTGCCCACAAAAACAAACTCGAAAACAGAAGCCACCTTTTCACCACCTTGCCCTGTGTTAGCCTCACTCTTTTGGTGACCTCACTAGCTTAGAGCCTGCAGCGCTTCTATTTCCCCACCTCCACCTCACAGCCCCGCCTGCCCCCTTTTGCTTGCTTTCTCCTCCTTCCCTTCCCACCTCTGAGCATGCTCTGAGGCTGTCCTTCCTCCTGCGGCAAGTCCTAGACCGGCCCCTAACCTCCCTAACCAAGGTGCCTTGTGCGCCCATTGGATCCCCACTGTTTCACCTTACGAAGTTCTGCTAGCTCACTCTTCATCCACTCATTCAATAAATATGTACTTGCTCACCATGCTGTGCCACTTAGTACTTGGGGCATGGCCACCTCTAATGCCTCTGTTCAAGCTTCTTTGCTGCCACACCTCCCTCTGAGTCCTGAATGTGGGTTCCTGAGCACAGGACCCACATTCTGTTTTTTTCTTGCTGTCCCCCAAGGACCACCCAAGGGCTATGCCATTTAACAGACATTGAGCTCCTGCTCTGGCTGACACCCATCCAATGACAAGGGACCCGCTGAAGGAGCAAAAGTTAAGGGACCAATATGGTCGGTGGGAGGTCCTCTTACTCTCCTGTCTCTAGGATGACAGGCTTGGTGGTAGGAGGGGCAGAGAGGAGGCCCGCGGTCCATCCTAACTTCCCTGCTCCAGGACCCAGTCCAACTCTCAGCTGGGAGATCTAAGAGTTTGAAATCAGGACAGGATCCTGGAGGTCGTCTGGTCCAACTGTCCTGTTAATGCATGAACTACAGCCCATACCTCCTAGGCAGGCTCAGTGCTCTGTCCACCGCTGCTTCCTAAAACCAACAAGTTGATCTGGAATTTGAACCTGGTGCTTCTCAAATCCAAGTCCTTCCTGTTATCTAATCTGAGTTCCTCACATTACACTTGGTCAATTTCATCTTGTCCTGCCTTCATGAGCACAGAGCATGTAGGGCAGATCTTCATCACACACAACCCTTTGCAGGCTTACTAACACCCCTCTGGGACCTCTCTGGTCATGTCTTCCCGGTGTCCAACCCTGACCCCTCTTGCTGCCACATCGGCTGTTTTCTATTTTTGCTGTGCTGCCGTCCCACAGTCCTCTCTGGTATGACCAGTCTCCATATCCTATCCACCCTCCACTCCCCTGTCCCTTGGTGACTCATCCCCGAGCTTCCCAAGGAAGCCCCCACCCTCTGCCCTTTCCTCCCGCCTTCCATGAGTGGAAAATCCACCTCCACCCCCTATAGCAGGCCAGCCCCCTTCCTCCCCAGTCTCCCACCCCATCCCCCCACCGACCAGTTTCCTCTCCAGGACCAGGGAGCAATCACAGCTGCCCCGACCTTGGCTTCCTCTGCTGGGTGGGATTGGGGGCTGGGCCCCCAAATGGGCCCCTGGCTTCCCCCTTCCTCTGGGCAGGGGACAGAGAGGCACAAGCTCGGGGAGCAGGACTGACTTCCTCTTGTCCCGGAATGAGCATGCCTGCCCTTTGCAAGCAGGTTTGGGTCTCACGCAGAGGAAACCAAAAGCAGTAAGAGGGAGGGAAGACAGAGCAACCAATCAAGGGCAGGGTGAGACTCAAAACGAGCGGGCTCCCTGGGGAGCCAGACAGAGGCTGGGGGTGATGGCGGAGCTACAGCAGCTGCAGGAGTTTGAGATCCCCACGGGCCGGGAGGCTCTGAGGGGCAACCACAGTGCCCTGCTGCGGGTTGCTGACTACTGCGAGGACAACTATGTGCAGGTAGGTAGAGCGGGCGGAGGACTGACACCCCAGCCCCTGGAGGGCGGACCCTGAGCCCAGCCCCAAGTGGGGCCCTGGGAGCCATCCTGACAGTGCTTGTCTTGGGCCTTGGCTGAGAAATCCTCCCACTCCAGACTTCAGCTTCATCCCAGACCCCAATACTTAACTCTGACCCCATACTACCCAAGCCCCCACTGTGCCCTTTCTGTCTCGCCTCAGAGATGTCTGGGACAGACAGTGCGATTCCATCCTGTTCTCAGGTGTCACTGCAGGTTCATCCTTCTGAGTCCCCCAGGTCGATCCAGAGACCCAAAGCCTCTGTCCTCACACAGATGCTGGCGATCATTCTATTTCCAGGCCAGCTCTGGGTGACGCTTCAGAAGAACTTCCCAAACAGCACAGTGAACCTGAGATGGACCCTGAGTTTGGGAGAGTGGGGATAAGGCAGAGTAGGCTGGGCTAAAGAGAGGGGATCTCATGCAGAGGGAGGGGGATGGCCCACATGACTGCTGGGAGCAGGCTACTAGCAAAAGATAAGGAGGTGGCATTGTAGAACAGTTTTTAAATTGTGTGGTTGTCCTGGGGCTGAGAGTATAGATTCCTGGATTCAGGGAGGAGAGGCAAGGCAACTTAGCCATGATGGAAATCACTTCTGTTATTTCATTAATCTGTACAACTACCTTGTGAGACACGTATTATAATTCCTATTTTACACATGTGGAAACAGTAGCTCAGGGAGGTGAGGTGATTTGTCCAAGGCCGCACAGCTCCAAACAGCAGAGCCAGGCATTCCCGTATTTTTGCTCTTGTTGCCCAGGCTGGAGTGCAATGGCTCGATCTCGACTCACTATAACCTCAACCTTCCGGGTTCAAGAGATTCTCCTGCCTCAGCCTCCTGAGTAGCTGAAATTACAGGCATGTACCACCATGCCTGGCTAATTTTGTATTTTTAGTAGAGACAGGGTTTTGCCATGTTGGTCAGTCTGGTCTCGAACTCCTGACACCTCAGGTGATCCACCTGCCTTGGCCTCCCAAAGTTCTGGGATTATAGGAGTGAGCCACCATGCCCGGCCAGTCTTTTTTTTTTTTTTTTTTCTTTTTTTGAGACAGGGTCTCCTCTGTCGCTCAGGCTGGAGTGCTGTGGCATGATCGTAGCTCACATAGCTTCACTGCAGCCTTGAACTCCTAGGCTCAAGCAATCCTCCCACCTCAGCCTTCTGAGTAGCTGGGACTACAGGCGCATGCCACCATGCCTGGCTAATTTTTTTTATTTTATTTTGTAAAGACAGGGTCTCCATATGTAGCCCAGGCTGGTCTTGAACTCCTGGCCTCAAGTGATCTGCCCACCTTGGCCTCCCAAAGTTCTGGGATTACAGGCGTAAGCCACCACATTTGGGCTTACCTGACTCCTGATGCCAAACCCTTTCCTCTCCATCTTTCTGCCTCCCTACACACTATGTGACTTTACGACAGTTTATTTGCACTCTCTGTACCCGGTTTCCTCTGCTCCCTGAAGAGCTGCAGGCTAACCTTGTTACCCCTTGGGCAAAACTTTATTTTTCTAACCTGTATTAACCGAACTATGAGAACAGGCATAGAGACCTCGTAGCATAGTAAGAATGTTGAAAAAAGAAATAAATGAGGAACAAGTGCTCATGGGAAATGGCAGATTAAAGAGAGTCAGTGATGACAGCAGTTAAAACTCTCTGGACCCAGCCGGGCGTGGTGGCTCAAGCCTGTAATCCCAGCACTTTGGGAGGCCAAGACGGGCGGATCACCAGGTCAGGAGATTGAGACCATCCTGGCTAACCCGGTGAAACTCCGTCTCTACTAAAAAATACAAAAAACTAGCCTGGCGAGGTGGCGGGCGCCTGTAGTCCCAGCTACTCGGGAGGCTGAGGCAGGAGAATGTTGTAAACCTGGGAGGCAGAGCTTGCAGTGAGCTGAGATCCGGCCACTGCACTCCAGCCTGGGCGACAGAGCCAGACTCCGTCTCAAACAAACAAACAAACAAAAAAAACCAACTCTCTGGACCCTTCCTTTGGGCCAGGCATGTTACCAGCATGGCCTCCCTTCATCCTCATCTGAAGTCCAGTGAGGCGAGTCCCATTCTCACTTCACAATGAGGAAGCTGAGGTTTGGAAAGGTTAAGTCACTTTCCCAGAGGTCTCCTAGCTAGTGTCAGAGCCTGAATTCAAACCCAGAAATCTGATTCCAGAGCCCACTCCCTATGCCACTAACTGAAAATGCTATTCTGGGTATCATTTCGGTCTGTGTAGTTGTTGAATGACCACCTGCAGATGAGACAGAATGAGGCTTGCAAATCAGCGCATCCTCCTAGCACAGAAAGGCATGTTCCCTCTACGGACAAGGATCCAAGCAGTCCTTTCCATTCCTTCCATAACTTCTGCACACCTCAAAGAGCTTCCGCAGGGCTCTCATTTGCACACACAGTGTTCACACACAATTTGGGGTCACAAAGACCTAAGTCCAGTTTCCAGCTCTGCCACCTACCAACTACAGGAACTGTGGCAAGTTCCTCCTCTGATTCTCATGCCTGCCTTCAGGGGAGGCGCCATGGGTTCAATATAAAAATGTATCAAAGCATTTAGCCTAGTGCCAGCCCCTTCAGAAGAGCAGGATACATGGCAGCTTTTACCATGACTATCATCATCATTATCATTCATTGGAAAGATGGATAATAAGAATCAGTTCTAAGGAGGAGAAGCTGTCCTTGCAAAAATACGTGGGGCGTGAGAAGCCCTGACCCAACTTGGAATCCTTGGATTCCTGCTTCTTTCATGCAGAACAATAACTACTAGAACACACAACCTGTTACCTTTCCTGGCCTTTCTGAGGATCTTTGTCTAGGCAAATGCCTAGGAAGTTTCTGGATCTCAGAACTGCTGTTACCTAAGGCCTGATTCCCCTACCCTCCATCCCCATCTGCAGCCCCTCTCTCCCCACACCACCCAGATGCTAGGAAACCCATGGGGAATTAGGGAAGGCAGACCAGGGTCACCTGCAGAGTTCTCTGCCAGGGTTGACTGACTTTACAGACAGGGTAATTTGCATGACGAACAAGCACTCAGCCGCAGAGATGGATCTCAGATGCTTGTCCCTGCAGACCTAACTTTGGGCCAGGAGCAAAGCCAGGGGTCAGTAGGTGTTCAGGCTCCAGGTGCCCAGAGCTGGGCCCAAGCAGACACTTTTCCTGTTTGGGCCAACAATTCCACATGTCAGTTTGGGGAGGAAACTGTACAGGAGAAGGCAGGCAAGCTAAGAAATCTGGGTGGAGATGGAGGAGTAGTCACTGCTCAGTTCTGGGCCTGTTTCCTCATTTGGTAAAGGAAGGTCCTGAACTAAATCAAGACCTGCTATCCTGTCTGGTTTTAATATCCTGGGTTGATTTCTTTGCCTTTTCAAGATTCTTGGTGACATATGCTGAGGAGATGTAAGTTTTGTTGCATACGCTGATGAGATGTAAATAAACATGCAAATGAGCATCTCTTTCCTGCTGTTGGAAAAGACAGACAGGG